GTTTTTAAGTGTGCAAGTGGAAACTTGTACATTGCTTTCTCATAATTTTTAAGTGTGCAAGTAGAAACTTGTTTAAGTAAGCAAGTAGAAACTTGTGTGCACATTGCTTTCTTATAGTTTTTAAGTGTGTAAGTAGAAATCTGTACATTGCTTCCTCTATGAGAAAACTTGTTTTTTTTTTATGCATAATTATTAGTAGATATTTATTAATTTGGCTTACTTATAGAAGAAGCAATGTACAGATTTCTACTTGCACACTTAAAAACTATAAGAAAGCAATGTGCAAGTTTCTACTAGTACACTTAAAAACTATGAGAAAGCAATGTACAAGTTTCTAATGGACACTTAAAAACTATGAGAAAGCAATGTACAAGTTTCTACTTGCACAATTAAAAATTATGAGGAAGCAATGTGCAAATTTCTACTTGCACACTTAAAAACTATGAGGAACAATGTGCAAGTTTCTACTTGCACATTTTTTTTTATTAATAGAGTATTATTAAAGATAGATTGGTGTTGTGTATTTGACTTGATATCTCAAAATTTGCGGAAATTAGAGCAATCACGTAGATTTTTTTAAACAGAAATCGGTAACCTCTTTATTATTACCAATTTTTATTAATTCTATTATATTCTTCAAATTTTTCTATTCTTATATAATTCTTTAAAATTTAATTAATTAGTTCTTGAGTTATAGAAATTTCAGTAAACTTGGCTGTTTTTTTCTTAACAGAAATTGGTAATTAATCAACCAAATCCAGAACTAATCTTAACGAATTGTATATGAAATAGGGGTAGAAAAGACTGAAGAATATAATAAAAATAATAAAAATTGTTAATAATAACAACGGAGTTACCAATTTCTGTAAAAAAAAAACAGCCAAGTTTATTGAAATTTCTATAACTCAAGAACTGATTAATTAAATTTTAAAGAATTATATATTAAATAGGGGTAAAAAAAACTGAAAAATATAATAGAATTAGAAATAGATCGATATCTCAAATATTGAGAAAGCTATAGCGTAAAACACGCTTTTCTGAAAAATAAAAATCCCCTTAAAATCCATACCGGTCGACGGATTTTAATAAAATTGGAGGAGAACATACTTTCTATGATACTCTATTTGTGTGCAAAACTTCAACCCGGTATCTAAAAAATTGTAGAAGTAGATGCGTGTACAAAAAATCCACACACACACACACACACTTCCCGACTTTTTCTACTAATATGATTTCTCGACATTTCAGAACATTCTAAATCTATTTTCTTTAAAATCTCAAAAAAAATTTTTTTTCACCATCACAAAGCTTCCACTATGAGAAAGCAAAAATGGCATAATATTATTGACAGATAAGGAGTTCGCTGGATCGGCTTCAAGATGTATGTAACGACCTAAGAGATGAGAATGAAATCGCTATTCTAAAAAAATACGGGAGCAAGGCGAAACGTTACACAACTGCATTAATATGTAAGACATGATAGTCGAGTCTTCTGTATGTTTAAAAATTAGATTAAACATAATCATAAACACATTTTTTTCACAAAACAAGATTCTGTCTATCCTCAATATAAAAGATAGGCGACTGAATGTTTGATATATATATATATATATATATATATATATATATATGTGTGTGTGTGTATATGTGTGTGTTAGTGTGTTGTTTAATTTTACAAAATTTCTCTCAGTGCTTGGTACATATGGCATAAGTACACCAACTGCTATGTACATTTGGACGTGCATTCAATACTTTGGTCTGCGTAAAATCGAGTCTCGACTAAATCTTTCAATGTATGTTGCGACAGAGTACTTTATTGATCAAGAAAAATATTCCTACTTAATCGCGCTGCACGGACTAGCAACTATTTACATAGGGTGTGTCTCACTGATAGCGACAGGAACTATGCTCATTGCATATCTTCAACATATCTGCGGAATGTTTAGTATCGCCAGGTGAATAAATGAATGCTAGAATATAATCGTAAACAATATTTGTTTGTTACCTCAAAACAAAATAAAATTAATTGAAGGAATAAAATTATTTTTCTACAGTTATCGAATCGAACAGGCAGTCAATATTTTACAAAAAGATATCCTAAAGAGTGAGAACATGGTTTATAAAAAGATTACTTATGCCGTAGACATTCATCGCAAGGCTATAGAGTTGGTATATATTTAATAAGGAGCATTAAAAATACTAATATAATTATACGAATTTTCTATTCTGTACTTGAAGGTTCACGGACTTTTTAATATCAAATTTTGAGGGATCATTCTTCTTCTTGATTGCAATCGGCGTGACTTGTCTTAGCCTTAATCTTTTTCGGGTAAAATATTTAATCGTAATTTCATTAGAATTTTATGAATAGTCAAGAAAATAAAAAGAAGTAGCCCCAAATACTTGTCTATCTATAATAGATTTATTGAAAACGATAATTCATGAAAATAATGGTTACCTAATTTTTAAGATACTGTAATTGCTAATTATATGTATAAGCTAAGTAAATAAATTAGCAATAACTAAATAAAAACTTAATATTAAAACACTTAATTCTCAATTATTCTCAATAATTCAATATTCTGATCCGATGACATATAATCTATTGAAATTTTATCATGCAATATATATAGAACACAATAGGATTCGATCGTGCGTAAGAAGTCGATAGCAAATGCTTAACGGACGTATCACATTTTTTAGCTTGCGTCATATAGTGATGAAATTGAAAAACTTGTTGCACCTTTTTTAATGATAAACACCCTCTACACGTACTTGTTCTTAGCCAACTATTCTGCGCAAGAAATTACGGATCATAACGAATATGTATTTGCTACAGTGTAAGAAATATTTCCATCATTTTGTCATACAAGAGTACTCGTTTTGTAATAGAAATCTAAATTATAAAAAATATTAGAGTAAAAGTACTAATACGAATCGTGGAACAAATATATTTATTATTACCAAATATTTTTGTATTATTAAAACTAGCAATTGTTACTATTTTGTAGATACAACGTTCAGTGGTACACGGCTCCGTTACATGTACAGAAAATAATATTGTTTCTTCTGCAAAGAGGCACTAAACCTTTTCATATAAATCTCGGTGGAATATTTGTGGCGTCCTTAGAAAGTGCGGCTACGGTAAGAAACATGTATCATATGTTGTAGTTTATAGTAAGTTCATCTACGTATTATCTCTAAGAATATTGTTTAATCAATAATATAACATTAACAATCATTTTAAAATATTCTCTTGCTATTTTAGTCGAATCACGCTTTACATCACATAAATCATACAAAAACGTATAGTTTCACTATAATAATTATTATTTACAAAATATTAACTAATAGCTCCGTACAGCTAGAAAATAAAATAAAAGATAAAGAAAATTATAAAATTACTATTGTATTTCCTTGTTTTATCTCTCTCTCTCTCTCTCTCTCTCTCTCTCATGGTCGATAATATTACGAAATTAATAAATAACTTTTACTTCAAAACGTCGTAGTTGAATTATCGGAAAAGAATCGATTATCTAAACGTATTGTCCTCAAATTTTTGGTTAAAGAAAGTTCTATTATATTTTTAATATTACTTATTGCAAAATAAAGCAAAAATATATTTTATTACAGCTGATGAGTACTTCAATATCCTATTTTACTGTTCTCTATTCTATGAGGGAAAACTAAGAGTATAATTAATGATGATAAAATAAAATTTGTTTTCAATTTGGAAGCGAGAGGATGGAGAGAAGACGGTGAAAGTGAAAGAAAAAGAAATATTGGAATCACTCTGATCTCGCATTTTAGATAATATGTAATAAAGTATCAATTATGCGATGGAAAAAAAATTATTATTTAAGTGAGAAATCGGGATTCTAGATTGTAATAACTGCAGAATAATGTTGACAACGTTACATACAATGAAATTTTTTATTATTTAGATTTAATTTAATTATTATTAGAAAAGTTTTTTTTTTGTAAATGCAAATAAAATTTTGAATTTTACTATTATTAAACAAAATGCAAAAAAATTTTTGTCTATGATTAGTTCCCTTCTTACAGTATATCAACTGACACCTTATTAAATTTTTAATATTATACAGTAATATCTTCCGATGTGTAGTAATAATTTTCGATACGTAATTATCTGAAGTATAAAAAGTTTTCAATAAATTAACTCTTATCTACATGACAAATAACTGCTGAGAACAATCGACTATTTAATAAAAATAATATTGATTATTGTATACACATAACAGAATCTTCTATCTGTAAAACTATAACACTCTGTAGATAATGTTACAGAAAAGTATATATTAAAAATTATCCCATACAAACGTATATTACACATTTTAGGATTAAGATATTTTAGATTAAATAGTAATGATTAAACAAAGTTTATAAATAAATGTGTTATATAGCCTACAGCAATTGATCTTTCTGTAATTTTTAGTCTAAGAGACATTAAGCGCGATATTTGCATACGTTTGCCTGGAATGACCTAATAAGATATGGAAAATTTCAATATGATATATAGTGTGTTACATGAAATATCAATATAAACATCAGAACGTTACCAATAAATTCGTATAGTTGATGCGTAAGATTAAGTGATTGACGCTTCTCTAAGGAATCAAATGTATTTTGTGAAGGAACGCACTAGAATGAAGCGCATATTACAATGTGTTACCTACTGGAATGCGCCTGCGCGGCCCTTTTGGTCAAGTTTCTCTCTACGTGAATATTTCTCCATGGGATATAAACACCTGTTAAATTTCTATCAATCGTTTAATGGTGCGTTTTTTTCTACAAAACGGTAGAAGAACTAAATTTGCAATATTTTATTTCGTATTCTGGCATATTAAGTAATTTACATTAGAATTTACTAAAAAAAAAAGGAAAAATAATAAAATATTCAGCCAACTGTAATCGAAAAGAGGGGGCAAGCAAACAATTTCTCGTTTTTCACGGTCAAACGTGTTTTTGTGTGTACAGAGATGATTTGTCTTGAGACACAACATTTCAAACTCAATCGACTTCTTTTGCTCGCGATTGGTTTATGGCCTCACGAGAAATCGAAGCTTGCTCAAATTCAATTTATTGTACTTTTTGGTATACTGACAACTTTTATTGCATTTCAGGTAGATCTTTATAAATTATTTTTACACGAAAGAATAATATAGAGTAGAATTCAAAATCTGTTAGTTAAACCAAAGTCATATTTCTTTTACTGTAAATTCTTCAACAGAAATATTATTTTACAGTTTGCAACATTTATTACTTCAAACTGCACTACTGATCTCATTATTAAGGTTCTGTCTTCCGCGTTTTTCTTCACTTGCTTGGCGATTAAATATAATTCGTTTTGGATTAATGCCGATACTGTAAGTCGAATATTTATTAAAAACTCGTCGAAATACATAAATATTCGTAATAAATAAAGGAAAGACGATTAAGAGTACGCACAATACTTTTTTTTGTAACAAAAATTTATTTAAAGAAAAACACAATTCTTTTATATATAAAGCAACTTGCAAATATAATGATACTAATTTATTATATATTTGTATTAAGAAAGTATAAAAACTTAAAATTCCACACAAAATCTAGTCATCTTCAAAATTTTCCTGGACAAAATTGCATCCTGGATAAAGAGTTTTATTTGAAGATGTTAAATATATTTTATCAGTTCATATTTTATGTTTCTTTCTTCTATCGAAGCTGCATACTTTTTTTCGTTTTTCCATACAGAATGTACATATGAAAATACCCGGATACCTTCACTCTCTCTCGCCACTCCAATTAACATTCTTTCTCGTTACTTACATAAGGTTTAATTTACTTCTAATTTTCAAACGCAATCACATAATATGATGAATTTCCTAAAACTTAACACACACTGCTAAAGCTTCTATGACACAATGATGTCAAATAAATCATTCGCTACATCGAGAAATTAACCATGCACCCTATATATCTTTGAACATTGCCTTTTTTTTAATATTATACACAAAACATTTACAAATATTAAACACAAAATTTTATCGTACAATATTTTTGATATGATAGATGAGGTTTTCACTGGAGCAACTACAGCATGCTTGCAATGAATTAACAAATAGAAACGAAATTGCTATCATAGAAAAGTACAGTCGTATAGGGAAATTTCAAACGACTGCAATTGCAAGTAAGACATTATATGCTTGTTATACATTTCAATGAATTATTAATATTAAAAAACGACATAATATAGATAAATATTTAATCTCTTATTTAAATAAATTCTTGATATACTTGTGTATATCGATTACTTTGACTCTCAGTATTTGGCATGTTCACCATATCTACTTTTCTCATAATGCCAATATGGCCACATATTTTTGGTACGATTCTGCCCATGAACACTTCCCGATCGCGACCTGCGATTCAGATTTCGACAGAATATTTTGTTGATCAAGAAAAATGTTCCTATTTAATTCTA